AATGTTCTGCATTCAGCTTCACACCAACTACTTATGTTTTATATTTCTTATAGTTATCGCTAGGATGGTTCTGGTTACATAGCGTAAATTAAGTGGCAGTTATTGCTTTTACATTTCAGGCCTGTGGTCTGGTGTGTGACGAAATCTCAGCACGGACACAAAAGGCTCGTCTAGCTTTTGCCAACTTGCGCCATTTACGGCGTAGGCGAGATATCCGTATAGCAACAAAAGGACGGGTTTACTGTGCAGCAGTTCGTTCCGTCCTACTTTATGGCAGTGAAACATGGCCAATAAGAGTAGAGGATATTCGTAGGCTACTAGTATTCGATCATAGGTGTCTTCGACGCATTGCTCGTATATCCTGGGACCACCGGGTAAGTAATGCAGATGTCAGGAAACGGGTACTAGGTAGGGATGGCAAATCGATTGATGAAGTAGTGAAACTTCATGAGTTGAGATGGCTGGGACATGTGTTACGTACGCCCGACCACCGACTGCCCCGACGTGCAATGTTTCATGGTGTAGGAGTAGGTTGGAAGAAAGCTAGGGGCGGCCAGACCAAAAGGTGGCACAAATCCATGAGGTCACTGACAGGTGGACTGGGCCATGTTGTTAGGTGTAGACTACCTGGTTGGGATCCGCGTCATAAAAGCAATCAATTCATTATATGTTAAAAAAGTTATATTTGAAATAGTCTCAGCGATTGAAATTTAAATAATTCCAACGTTTCGTCCAGCTAACTTGTCTGGACTTCTTCAGGGAAATAATCAAAATCAAAATCATCAAAGAAATATATAGTGTTTTTACAATCATATCAAAATCTCTACTACTTTTTAATCCAATCATATTTGGATGTCGAAGTTTTTGTAAACAGGATAATATGAGTCAGTTGAATGAGAATCAAGTGAAAAATTCAACGATGTGAATTAAAGGAGACTGCATAAATTGTGTGTGTGTATGTATGTGTAAGATGAGTTATTAATGAATGATATTCAGTGTTGATATGTTTCTATGTGAAGTAAAATAGGAATAAACGTACATAATGAAGGTTGAAAAGTTTTTTCTCCTTTCTGAATCATCAAAGTTGCAAATGAAATGAGAATCATCAAGTACATAAATTGTAATGTTAAACATAACTCATATTGATTTCAGTCATAATAACGATTCATGTGAAGTAAACAGGTTGAATAAAAGAAAAAGGTCAAATTACTTGCTGAAGAATATTTGCCAAGTGGTAGCTAGCTGAATACCATCCTTTCTGTTTAGGCTGTTCTTATTCGCCCATATATACAGCGCTTCTGCTGTCAATCTTTCTTTGTGAGTGTTGAAACCTTTCTGAAGTATTTTGGCCCCTTCAAAATTAATCATGTGTCCCGTTTCCAACGCATGTAACGCTATTGCAGACTATGTTTAAGGTCCACCTTATTCATATTTCGAGGAGATCTATACAGACAAAAAAAGGTATAGCTATGGGTTCACCAGTTTCTCCGATTGTTGCGAATTTATTCATGCATTCACTCGAAACTAGTGCAATCGCAAGAAGTGTTTGTCCACCAAAGGTCTGGCTACGGTATGTAGATGACATTTTTGTTATCATTAAACAGGACTATTTGGAAGAATTGTTTACAAATGTGAACAACATTTCGGAACAAATTAATCTAACGAAGGAAATAGAGTCTGATGACCACAAACTGGCATTTCTCGACTGTATGGTTGAACGAAGACTATATATTTTTTTGATGATTTTGATTTTGATTATTTCCCTGAAGAAGTCCAGACAAGTTAGCTGGACGAAACGTTGGAATTATTTAAATTTCAATCGCTGAGACTATTTCAAATATAATTTTTTCACATATAATGAATTCTCTATACTCGGCGCCCAATTATTGTCAAACTATTCGTTCTAATCTTGACGAATATTCGTATAAAAGCAATCAATGTTTAGAGACCTTGAATGACATGGCTCAAAATCGTTTGCAATGGCGAAGGTGCATCCACTCTTTGTGTTCTACCAAATTCTAATCTTCTGAATTCTTCATGTCCCTATCTTTTTTCTCTTTCCAAATTTATTTCACTGGATTATACTCCTTGAATAACATCTTCAAATCGTGATCTTTCACATAATACTTATACTTTTACTACTTCTACCACTATGGGATTTGAATCGACAACTACCTCCAAATGCCCTGGTACGGCCGAGAGTGGGGAGAGTCACCTCTCCCTCTCGAAATACTCTCATATGGCCAGAGAATATATAGCCTCTGCCAGGGAAGTCCTACTCACTGCCTTCTCGTGGCGGGGGCGTTGTTTACGAAAGTGAGAGGACGAAAAGCGAATGTCCGGCGCTTTAACCGGGTTGGTGGACACGGAGGGTCCACCTAGGGGAGTTGGAAAACCCTGATTCCAAACTAATGGTGCACATGGGCTCAGTCAGTCAGTCAGTCAGCTACAACGTAGGACCAGGCACATATATGCATCGGTCCAAGTTGCCATACCTCTTTAGCACAACAAGATGAACACCGGATTCATAGAAGCAATTAATTTAGTGGTGGTAGTATATAAAGAAAGATTGTATAGAAAGATATAGTACAGGAAGGAAGAGAGATATGAAGCAATTTTAATCTCAAGGTTTAAGGGAAGATAAAGAGTGTATACACCTACGCCATTGTGATCGATTCTGAGCCATGTCACCTAGAGTCTCCAACCATTTATTACGATAGTCACGCGGACCCCAACCAGGTAGTCTGCATCTGCCAACATGGCTCAGGCTAGAAGTTAGTGACTTCAAACACTGATGCCATGTTTTGGTTTGGCCGCCCCTAACTCTCTTCCAACCGTCCCCAATACTAGTCATCATAGCGCGTCGTGGTAATCGGTGTTCAGGCATACGTAACACATGGCCCAACCATCTCAGTCGATGGAGATTCATCACCTCATCAACTGATTTACCATCATTCCCTAATACCCTGCGTCTAACCTCACTATTACTTACTCGGTGATCCCAGCAGATGCGAGCAATATTTCTAAGGCATCTGTGGTCAAATACTAGTAACTTACGAGTATCTTCTACTCTTAATGGCCATGTTTCGCAGCCGTAAAGTAGAACAGAGCGAACTGATGCGCAGTATACTCGTCCCTTAATTGATAGACGGATATCTCGTCTTCGCCATAGGTGACGTAAGTTGGCAAAAGCCAAACGAGCTTTTTGAATCCGTGCTGAGATTTCGTCAGACACCAACCCATTAGGGCTGATCAGACTTCCAAGATAAGTGAAGTTGTCAACGCGTTCGACTACTTCACTCCCTATCCTTAGTTCGAGTGTTGACGCAGGCCAGTCCTGGAGTAACAATTTACATTTGGATGGGGAGAAACGCATCCCAAACATCCTGGCATTATTACTCAGTTCCAACAGAAGACTCTGCATTTTGTCAGCGTCTTCACCAAACAGGACTATGTCATCTGCGTATTCTAAGTCGCTTAGTGGTCCCCCTGGTAGGAGATCAATTCCTGTAAACTCAGTCGACGAGAGTGTCATTTGCAGCAACAGGTCTATAATGAAGTTAAACAAAAAGGGGGATAGTGGACAGCCTTGACGGACACCACTTGAGGTTGTAAAATCATATGACAGTTCGCCATAAGCTCTCACTCGACTGATAGTGTTCGAGTAAAGAGCCTTCACAAGGTTTATGTACTTCTCAGGTACACCTTTCAATGACAGACACTGCCACAGAACCTCTCGGTCTACAGAGTCAAATGCTGCTTTCAAGTCAAGAAAAACTATCATTGTCGGACGCCGATAAGTGTGTCTGTGCTCTAAAACTTGACGAATGGTGAATATGTGGTCGATACAGCCACGACCAGGTCTGAAGCCAGCCTGATTTTCTCGTGTTTGCAGTTCACGAGTCTTAGTTAGGCGCCTGATAATTATTGAGGCTAGTATTTTAGATACTATGTTAGTCAGACTAATCCCTCTATGGTTATCGCAGGATGATTTTGACCCCTTTTTATATATTGGGACAATCAGTGATTGTGACCAGTCGGATGGGATTACATCCGTCTCCCAGATTTTAGCCAGAATATTAGTCAACCTAATCGCTAAAATTGGACCACCATATTTAAAGACCTCTGGAGCCAATCCATCAGGACCAGCTGCTCTTCCTCGTTTCAGATTACCTATAGCCTTTTGAACTTCAAGTAGGGTCGGGGGGCCTACTTCAATGTTCCATTCAGGTTTTCTAGGAATAGTGGGTAGTTGTGCAGTAGCTGAAGGCCAGCTCCAGTATCCTGATGGAACGAATGGCGGACGAACCTGTCATTGGTCAACGGCTACCATGGGACTGCATCTCCTCACGATGCTCCACTGCCTTGTGGATCAGACATTCAGGTCAAAGGCTCCGGGTGTGACCCCCTAAGAAAACCACCTGCTTCAGTTTGGGCACCTGGGCAGTATCACAGCCCTCACACAAATCGAATGAGATTTGTGAGGCGCATATTTATCTGGTGCTTCATTGTACCAATATTTATGTGTTTAAATAAATAAATAAATAATATCGACAACTGGATCTCTGTGCTAATGTGGTATGGCAACTCAAACTGATGTACGTACGTACGAAGTTCTACGTTGTAACTGACTGACTGACTCAGGCCTGTCAATAGGTTTTTATGTTAGCTTCCTTCGAAGATTTCACTACACATCTTTTGGTGGTTTTATGAAAGAATTTATCATGTTCATTCAATGAAATTGAGTATTCTATTCACACATTAATGAAGATAGGTTCCTAAGAATGGATCATCAAAGTATTTATTTCGTGACGTTCATCAAAATAGTTTTTGAATACGGTTTAACTTCTCTCTTTTAGTTGGATCTCACTTTTTGAGTTCGATTTTCTTGGTCATTGGATTAGTGCCATGATGGTGTGATTTCTTTCAGTGTCATGTGAAATATGCATGACCCTATTCTCCGAGGTTGTTGGTAACTTGTCTGAATAAATAACATCAAGATGATTAGTAAATCAAATATTTCTACGTAAGCGAATTTACTTATTTATTTGCTTAGTTCTAGCTCATGCGGTCCATCACTCGAACAGCAGCGGAGATTCGAAAGTACTCAGCTAAGGCTACAAATGCTATCACGAAAAACAGAGGAAATTCATATTGATGAATATATTAAAAAGCTTGCACTGGACAATTGTTTCGTCACAAGCAAAGATGGTATGCCCAGATCGATATGCTATATCTTTTTAGATGTTTCAATTGTTTCCAAGGTCAAAACAACTTTACCTGAAGCTCCTCATTCTTGCATTTCTACCCAAAATCCGGTTTGTAGATTCAGTATACATCTTTATTTTCATGTTATTTTCAAGTGATTCTTCAGTTATCGTTCTTAATTCATTATTCACTATGGTATTTAAGCACTGGCAGATATCAAATACTCATCTACCACTTAAGATCGTTTCACCGAATCGGCAACGCCAGGTGAAGAAAAGACAATGGAACGTAAATATGTTCCCAATAGTTATAATGGGCGAGTTATAAGGCAAAATAAACCAATAGTGAGATGTATGGAATAATAGGATAGTCTAGATCCGACCAACTAAAAAGGATGCATACATTCGTGTTATTGAGGTAGAGTTTAAGGCATGTAACCTATTTTTTAAATTTCATCTTGCGAACCATATCCTTGTATAACTATAGGCACATTTATTTCAATTTATTTGTTATTTATTTTGTTAACTTTACCTCTTATTTATTTATTTATTTAAACACATAAATATTGGTACAAGGAAGCACCAGATAAATATGCACCTCACAAATCTCATTTGATTTGTGTGAGGGCTGTGATACTGCTCAGGTGCCCAGACTAAAGCAGGTAACTTTACCTTTACGGTATGCGGTTTGGCGACTTAAGTTAATGCGCGTTTGTGCATTGTTATTTTGACTTAGTATATAATCCCTCTAATGCCAAATGTTAACATCCTAATTCACATTCCAAATATTATTGAATGGTTGACACTATCCTTGTGTAATAAATTTTCAACTTTAGTTTTTATTTTTAGTGATGATATAATTATTTGTGTACAGGTTCCTGCTCTATTTCCCATGTAATCTTATCGGTAGTGCATTCAATGGTCAAAACTCCGGGCTTTCGACCAGTTAGTTACATGATTAAAATCCACTTCATCTAATTCTGTTTAGACAGCAGCGTTTTATTAATCATAAAACCAATATGACTCATTACCTGTATTTAATAAGTGGATCAGTCACATGCGTCTGTTCAAGTTTCAACACCACAGCAAAGCAACATCCTAGAGTACTATAAGTAGTAAGAATATTGGGGGTAGTAGAAAAGACATACAAGATATGATTTAAAAAGAAAATGTAGATCCATAAATTAAAAAGTTACAAGGTAATATAGAAACTTGGTATATAAGGGGACACGAAAGGTGAATCCATCTGCTGCATTACAGATTATTCTGAGACAAGTCAAAGTCTCTAAATGTTTGTTACGAAAATCATATGGACTCCAACCAAGTAGTTAGCACCTACCTGAACGGGCCAGTGCAATAGTTTATGACTTCATGGTCTCTCATATCTTCCTCACAACCTATTCCTGCATCAGCCACCATTGTGTCGAGGTAGGCGGTGGTTGGGCTTACTTAATACACGTCCTAGCCACCTCAACCGATCTATTCAGCATACTTTGGTAACCTGCATCTTGCCTTAACAATATTCGCTTAGAGATCCCAACAGACACAAGCAGTACTTCGAAGATAAATATGATTGAATACTAACACCCTGTGAATAACCTCTATTTGTAAAACCCCTATTTCAAATCCATGAAGTAACAGCAAATTACTGCACATTGTACTAGTCTTTTGGCCGGCAAACGGTCATTTCTCCAACACCATAAGCAAATCAAGCTTATTTGTCCTATTATCAGTCAGCATCATGAACCGCTACACACGTATCAGGTTGATCCCAATCCATTTTATCTAACACGTGAATTCTTTTCTTTAAAACTAGCTTAGCCGTGGTGGTAAGTTCTCAGACCGAATTTCTGGTGTATTTTCAACTGATCAAGTGTGTGAGAACCCATCGCATTTACTTGATTTCCCGGAGGTTGGATATCTGAATACTGCAAAGTCATTTTCTCCAGCCATTTCTTTAAAGAAACCTTCTTGGTTAGTGAATTTCTCTTCTTTACCACCAATTTATGGCAATGCCATTCGTGCCGCTACAACAAGGTGTGTTTAAGATTATCTTTGTATAGTCTACACTTAATGTATATATTAGTTGATATTTTTCTTTACGTCTTAATACCATTACTTCTACTAATCTGGTGTTCATATTAATAATTTCAACTCTCTGTGCTGATGTGGTATGGTGACTTGAATCAACGAATATGTCCCACGTCTTACGTTGTCTATCTGGGTTTACATCACAAGCACTAATTTAAGATTTTAGTCATAATGATCCATTGTAACCTTATACTTATATGGATTTAAATATTTCTAGGGATAAAAGCTTTCGCGTACATTTCTGTCACTATCAGTTTAAACTAATAGGTTGATGGAAGTTGTTGATTAGTAAGTAGAAATGTCATTTTGACAGAACATATGCTCACTTTTTTTTCTTTCGTACTTTCTCTGTTGGTTTAAATTCAAGTAAGGGATGTAAACAAATAGAAGTGTAATTTTCTGATGAGGTTTCGATACTCTGTTTGTAAATAATGAAATATGCTAAAGTGCTTGAAGGAATAACTAGATAAAACCGTGAGCATATATCAATATTTTTTGAGAAATCCTTTATTGGGTTATAGATATACAATAACTTGATCATAATGGTATATAATTAATTTATATCTCTTTGAAATTAAGCAAGTGTTGCTTTTTTAGCAGCTACATGTGCTGAAATAATGCAGAAAATTTGTAGGTCAATTAGATGCCTTTAGAGGTGTTGATTTCTGCGATCTAGGTGGTATAATGGCCTAGCTTTCATTGTCGTTCTGGACATTTTCCGCGCCTAACACATGTGAAAGTATGCTCTTTTGTTACTTCATAGTGCATAAAAAACGCCATTGAAACGAGTTCTATTGGAAAAACGCCAAAACTTTTGATTCGGAGATCTCCAAGAATGCCAAGAAATTTCTAAAAGCTTGATACTCAGATCAACTAACAATCACTAGGTACATCGACATCGACCGATTCTTTGAACATATACGAAAGAGATCGACCGATTACAAGGCCAGAAGTCAATCGACAAAGACAATCAACTTGGATCCAAGGGCACATGAAGATGACATAGCCTACGATGACAGCCAATCACAAACAAGGCCATCGGAATAAGTCAATTGAACACTTGTGAGATAACTAATAACGGTTCTAACTAAAAGTGACGAATGTATTAGTCAGTCATTTGGTCATATTCAACGTTAAACCTGGGACGTATGCGCATCGGTTCAAGTTGTCACAACACATTAGAACAGCGAGATGAGATTATAAAGCAGAATCCAAGAGTATTAGGAATAGTAACGAGATCAGTGGTAGTAGTAGTCGTAGTAGGATTTCGGAAGGAGAAAAGGTTGTATAGGAAAATTTCGGGACCGATAATATAACGACAGAAAAAAAGTAAGTGCATAATTATTGTTCCTGTAAAATGGGCTCGTTGTATTTTAGCCACATTCATTTAAGTGTTATTTGTGAGTGAATTGCTTGCATTAAATACTGAAGTATGGCTCAAACCAGGTCAGTTAGCTTCACATTCCACAGATGGCCACAAATAATCCCCAGTTTCTGTTTATTTCTGTAACAAACATTTTGGTTTGATCAGTTAAACGTTTCGTCATTTGAAAATTTTTTTGTCTTTTCTAGTTATGGTCTCGACAGTTCAATAATTTACGAGATATTTCGCTCGTCGAATTTGAGCACAGAAACATTGTATCATATTTGGTCACTTACAAGCTGCACCCAACCTGGTTGGTTTACACCGACTGAGTTAGCGACTGCTTTAGCTTTAATCGGCCTGGTACAACGTAAGCAATGGGAATTACAATCATGTTCTCTTTCCGAAACTATTACTATCCAATCACTTTACGAACAAATATGTCCACCTGTCCCTATGATACAAATCCCTAACCCCAATAGGTCGTCCAATTCTACAGATACGATTTCTGGGCCGGAGTTAGTTACTTATGAAAATCTCCCAACTAGTTTTCGAGATTCAGTGATCTCAGGATGTTCAAAGTTTCCCTTTCAACCCCCCATAGTAGCATTGTCTGCATTTTCCAACCACTTGGATAGCGATTCTCGTCACCAATCTATTCAGTCATCTACAAACTCCAGCACATTAAATAATTCTGTATACAAGATACCAGATCCCTTCACGCATTTCGTTTCATCGAGAACCCCATCTATAAATGACCCTGAGTGGTCTGATTTTGCTTCTTTTAATACCTCTGTAAGTTATTTTTTACATTTGTCATATCAACTGTCAATAAAATAGGATTAGAAATACTCTCTAATCTCTTATTTCTTTATTTGAACACATCAATATTAATAAAAGTGGGCACCAGATCTATATGTGCCACACAAAACAATGAGAATAGGAAGAGAAAATGAGGGTGAGGAATTCTCTGGGACGACATTCGTAGTACATGTCCAACCCACCGAAGTCGATGTTTCAAGATGGTGACACCAGTTGAATTATTGTCTCTGTGTCCAAACACACGGTGCCGAACCTGTACATTATTAACATGGTTTTGCGACTGGATGTCAAAAATCCTTCGAGAAAACAGTGATCAAAAATAGAGAGTCGTCTAACATCCTCAACTCAGACGCCTGGTTTCACAGGAATAGCTCAAATCCACTCTCGACGACATATTGTACACTCGATCTTTTACAGCCAGACTAACATCACGAAGGCATCAAAGATGGCCCAGATTGGCACAAGCCTCTCTGGCCGACACCGTACGTGAATTGATGTCATCACTCACGCCACCACCACAACTTACTCAGCAGATACCCAGATATATGAACTTCTCGGCTTTGCTATCTGCTCAATATCATTTGAATGGTGCAAAGCACAAGCCGCACTTACGGACACTGACTACCAACTGATTAAGTGTGGGCTGCATGGCTTGGTTATCATGGGACAGTAAGACAATATCATCCGTATACTCGGGGTCGAAAAGTCTTTTTCTCCAGGTAACAGTTCCACACCACCATTACCTTCATCCATCAGAGCTGTTTCCAAAATATGATGTGAAAGTTGAAGAGGAATAGTAAGATTCGGTAACCCTGCCTGATCCCATTGCTTTAATGAATTAATGGAGGTGGTTGTATGTTCTCACTCTATCTGCGGTATGAGTATATGACGCGTTCAAGATGTTAAAAAAGATCTCAGACACACCTTTCTAATAGGCAATCCCAGATAACAATCCTCTGCAAAAAAATTGAAGTCTGTTCATATGTCAAGAAACACTACGATTGTTGGTTTGTGATAAGTATGACGGTGTTCTAACATTTGGCGGAGGGTGAAGATATCTTATCATGTCTTCACTCTCTAATTTCTAATCATTGGGAAATGCTCAATTTATTGCCTTGTCATGATGTATATGATTTCATTAATATTATGATTTTCAGTTACATTTGGACTGTTTAGATCTAATCTCATTGTCTATTTAGTTATTTAAAGTAAACAATTTGTTGCGTACTGAACCTGTTGATGACTTCCTATTTAGTCTTAAGGATATGTAGTGTTTAGGGTTCACATCCAGTTCTGAAACAATAAGACTTTCAGAAACAGAGACTCATCTTTTAATTCATGATTAGTCATATGATCATGCTTATAGGAAAACATCTGGTTGAAGTTCGTGCTGATGATGTCGTTCGAAGGACGATGAAAGCTTCACGACCAAACGATCCAGCTCAGAGAATAAAACCCCATCAAAAACTTCTGGTCGCTTGATCTGGTATGCATTCAACACTGAGCATTGCTTCTCTTTGTTAAGTTGGCATTTACCGATATATAGCAAATTAATGTACTTTTTTACCGCTTTATCTTATACTGTTGGCTTTGATGCCCATCTTCACTAATCTATTTCTTAAGATGTTTATAACTAAATAGTCTTACTACAACCAGTTATGGAAGTTTTCATTAGCTATATTCTTTTTTTGTGTAACGGATTATCATCTATTCATATGGGTGTTCTAAATTTAGTAGGAAGAGCAAGTTTTAAATATATAAAGACTCATGACTTATCAAAAAACCTTACTATTTCACTAAACTTGGCATTCTACCTTACTACTTTTAATCCTGTAACTCTGTTAATTATGCAAACTTTCTGAAAAGTATCGGTCATCATATATTTTTGACCTCTTGAGGAAGACATCAAAGCCGGTGAAATCAACAATCAGTAATTACAAGAAAGGAGAGTTTAGTATTCTATTTCATAGCATTTTAGTTTCATCTCTTTTTCTTCATACTTTATCTTCTCTGTTTTAGTGTTTTTCTTTCACCTGCTTGCTGATTTTCGGTTTTCAGGTTAAGCAGCCAGAGCTTAATAGTAATAATACCCCGAAAGTCGCTACAGAAGCTGATATTAATGGACAGGAAAAATCAGTCATGAGGCAAGTAATATGTTTAGATTTTAGCCACTTCCATTGTACTTGTTAATATCTGGTTGTTTACTTTTGATATCTTTATACTTATAATCATGTATTCTTTATGTTACTGAACTTTTGATAAGTCCTTTAGTAGTTATCATGTCTTATTCATTGTATCGATCTCAAATTTATTATCTATCGAAAACCATCCAAACTCATCAAACCACTCTTCGACATTCCTAATTGAGTTTGATAACTTAAAACTATCTGAGCAAAACTGGATTAACTTTTATGACCATGGTGTTATTGGACAAACTACCGTATTTTCGTGTTTCGCCACTTCATTTCAACATCAGTAGTTTCATACGTAATTTTCACGAATAATATGTGTGGTTTTTCCTTAAATACTTATATATTCACAGCGTGATAATCGACTACACCTTTATGAACTGGATGCTAGTGAAAATATTATTGTCACCACAGTTATCTAACTAAGATATTAACATGACTGTACTCAAACATGTTTCATCTTATCTTAGTGCTTAATGGTCGAAAGACAGGAACTAAATATCTATTATGGTCTGTAGTCGTCGATGTATAAATGTTAGAGTGATTTGTCGACAGCATATGTGATGTGCATAGCCAAATACCAACTGATTTTTTCGTGTCTGTGAGATTACTCTGTCAAGGCTGATCCAGTTCATGTCGATAGACTAGAATTTTAAGAAGAGTTCCCTGAATTAATTCTATTGTAGTCACTAGTTTTCGTATGATACCTGTTCGGTTGTTATTTCTAACTTAATCTTGAAGATGCTTTTACCCCTTCATTATTTGATCGTTAATTATACTTAAACATTTCTATCTTCAAATTGGTTTTATTTCTAATTACCTCTTTTTTAGCTCTCACAACTACCTATTTGATGAAGAGTTTGGAAATTTTCAGACTAGTTATTCCGTTAATGCATCAAAACCGATTGAAATTCTTGATAAGCTTTCTCATTCGAATACACTAGTTACAACAATTAATAATACTCCGTTAAAATTACCAATACAGAAAAATGCTTATAATGATGTGCAGGTTAGAAATATTATATAAAAACGCTTGTCTTTTAATTTTAAATAAACAAACAGTTTCTCACGTCGCCTGCATAATCTTCACTGAATAATAATTAAACAAAAACTAATCGAAATGTTTTACAAAATATAAGTTTTACCTTCATACATCTGCGCGGAATACCAAGCCTTATCAGATTCATAAGTTTTTAGTGTTATGTTACATGGTGAAATACTTAGCAATTCTAAAGTGTACTATTATGTGCAGTTTAAGATTTAAGTCTGTTGACTATAAAATAATCAATCATTTAATCCATTTCAATGACATTCATTGAAACTGTCTGTTCACAAAAACACATTAATGATTGGATATATATAAGATTATATTTCCACTAAAAGGTAACTGTACTTCGATTTTTTACTCAGTAAATTTGTAATGAATTCTCTTGATTTCAGAATAAAATGAATTCTTCAGAATCTTTATACGAACAATGGCTTCATTGTTTAACTGATTGCCTGAAAGTATTCAATGATTCATTGTTAGTTTTATCTTCCCTTAAAAGTATGGAAGATCAGTTTGAATTTGCAGAAAGTGAAGAAGGATGTAATTTCTTATTGGGTATGTCTTCAATAAATATGTTATAAGATGAAATAATTCATCCTTTCACAATATTTATTTCAATTATAATGTTTTAATCCAACTTTGAAGTAGTTTGTCTTCAGGATTAGTTTTCTTCTTATCATTGAAAAGCATCGGGAATTTTTTGTTTAAAAACATGCAGATCTTAGTAATTTTTTAAGATAATTTATGAATATAAATCGGTGGTAACTACTACTGGGAAATTACTCTTGCTTCAACTCTCATTCACACAAATCGTATTCACAATCATATGATAACACTCCTTTTTATTTCTTGTTTATACTATGTTACTTAGGTACTCCCCTTTATTCTCATTTTGCGTACTTTATTTTTCCAACGTATACAGCAACTCACCTGTCGTGGTAACCCTGTCCTAGTTAAGCCATTTTATATCACTGACTGGTCGAAAGTTGACGGCTGCCATCGGATACGAATACTGAAATAGTATTTCTGAAACCGCGTATAACATTTAAACTGGATTTCTTCAACGTTCACACACTAACACAGATCGGACAACAGATGGGGTTGGCTATGTGTTTAGAAAGTCTCAACATCGATGTTTGTTGTCTATCCGAGACCTGTGTTTAAGACTTATTTATTTATTTAAACACATAAATATTGGTACAAAGGGGCACCAGATACATACGCGCCAACAAATCTCATTTGATTTGTGTGAGGGCTGTGATACTGCCCAGGTATCCAACCCGAAGCAAGTGGTTTTCTTAGGGGGCCACACCCCGAGCCTTTGACTTGAAGATCTGATCCACAAGGCAGTGGAGCATCGTGAGGAGATACAGTCCCATGGTAGCCGGTGACCAACAATTGATTCATACGCCATTTATTCCCTCAGGATCCTGGAGCCCATGTGCACCATTGGTTTGGAATGAGGGTTTTCCAACTCCCCTAGATAGACTTTCCGCGCCCACCACCCCGGTTAAAGCGCCGGACATTCGCTTCTCGTCCTCTCTATTTCGTTAACAACAGTTATGCCACGAGGAGGCAGTGAGTAGGACTTGTGTGGTAGTGGCTGTATACGCGTGGCGGTGTGAGAGCATTTCTAGAGGTAGAGCAGACTCTTCCCACTCTCGGCCGTACCAGAGCATTTGGGGGCTGTTTAAGACTAATGAAGGACTACAAATTCGCTCTCCACCTGTCGTTTTGGAGAGCTTGTTTCACATGCTCAGGCCGGGCGTCTACGCACAGAACAGAGTTGTTCAGGTGGTCGATGGGGACTTGTTATTATACTTACCTTCCTTTCTTTCTCATTTCATAACTTCGTTGTTACTGTATGGCTCATTTGGTGTCCCTTGTGCCAATGTTTATTTGTTCACATAGATTAATAAATAATTTATGAATTCGACAAAATTTGGCATTTAAAGCTCCACGTCGGATGGCTTCGAGGAGCTTTGTTATTACGGAACTACAAATCTGATGTCAAAAGTGTGACTGCAGATAACTTCTGATATAACGTGGCAATTTAAAATTTATCTTTTTCCAGCAGTATACCTAGTTTATACTAGCTCTAGATTGGAAACTCAAATAGTTCGCCATACACAAACTAGTTCCCGGTATATGAGATGCCTGGTTCAGGACCAGGAACAGAAAACCAGAGTAAATGCTAGACAATACGTTATTCCACACAATTATAACCAGTCACTCTCACTTAGTCAGTGGGAATCAATGGGGCGAAGAAATCACATTTAAATCAGTATGCTGCGTGTCTGTTTCTGCACGCTCAGTGGCCGATCACATTTACTGTCACATCCATCCATCAACTTTGCATAGAAATTTCAGAGTAATTAGAAATTGAGGTCATTTAGGAGGTGAATTTGGTATATTTATTAAAAGAAGGGCAACTGGTTTTCTCCCTAAATTTATAAATTTAATGAAATGACAATTAACTGCATCCTGATTTACTTAAAAGTTCTCATTCAACGTCTACTGGGATTGTGTATGTGGCCTGTTGTGGTGTCTCAGATTGAGACGAAATAGTTGTTCAATTCATGGCTTTCAGTGGTTGCCTATGATCAGTCGGTGATGTAAAAGTGCAAAATTACACGAATTCGCAAAATTCCATAAATTCGAACCCCACTCAATAAAATATTATGGACATATCATTTTCTATATAAACATTTTCACCCGGTTATCATTTATCATGAAATTGTTAAATTAAATATTAGTTGTGATGTAGTGTATTCTGGCAGATATAAGTAGTATACAGCACCAATCGGAAGTGGAATGTCTGAAAGCAGAAGATTGAGAAGACCGAAGTGAAGAGAAGAGAGAAAAAAACTGAAAGCAATCATGATAACATACGGCATGAAGGAACTATCAAGTTTCTAAGAAACAATTCAAATATGTGCAAATGATTTATTTAATATATGATCTTCACATTTTACTAATAAATTCTTTGATGAAAAGTACAATTATATAGAACATATCCCTTAAACACGAAATAATGACGGAAAGTTCTGATTACTATAGTGTTGGTGAACATTGAGAACATTATCGATAACCGCAAATGCTGTATAGATTTTCATCATATAATATTAGTTATGTCATCCAAGTTTTCTGAAATTTCTGTGAATTGGCATATGCAGACTTCAAATTAAAGTAATTTTTAAAACCACTTTGTCTTAGTTAACCATAAAGCATATATGTTATTTCGTTTTATTGCAGATGCCACTGAAATTTATTTGATGACAAGACGAATAAGCATTTCAGCCAAGAATTACAGTGAGTAGTTATGCTTCTTAAATAATCCACTTTCTTATTTCATTAGCATTATTGATTTAAGTTTTAGATTCTTGTTAGCACGTTTCAATCGTTAAGTTAAATAAATCCTAATCAATTGATTTTATGAAGAGAAATAATGTTGCTGAATAATAACTTCACAAAGCTAGATTTTATAGCTTACCTCACAGACTGATCTTAATTAAACAACTATTGAAATATTCATCATTTATAATATTAATTGAGTAAAAATAGGAATCAATTTATTCAATACCATAAATTTTGTTACAGTAGAGTATTTCCAGTACCAGTTGTGCAATATTACGATATATATATAGTTCTTATTGTCCTAATACCTATCTTTTAATTTACATTTAGATGTACTTAATTCGTCTATGCATCAAGTGTTTACGGATATTGAAAATTCATTTCGTAAATTGTCATCATTTGCTGTTGTAACTGATCTAAAGGTATTATTTAAATATTTGTTATTTATCATTATTTGCATGTCGACCTAAAACAAATTTCTGTATTATGGTGTACAACTCGACTAAATGGCTGTAATCGCCCTAAGGGTAAATCCACCAATGGGTTGCAAACATATATTGGTTTGCGTCTCGCTTGTGTTTACATTGTATGAGGGAGTGTGTGAGAAAATATAGAAGGGAAAGGAACTGACGACTCAGCATACATAATTCACTTACATTCAATGATGGAAGTTATCGACAGAAGTTAGCAATAACACAAAGGTAAGATCAAGATAACCTGAAGATTGAAGCTGGGAGTTAGCAGAATAAGATTTCCAATCCATTATAATAGTACTCTTTAAAGTAACCTTTCATCCCGGATCTCACTATAGAATTATATTTTTCACAGATTACGACTAACTACTTTGTTGGTAATGCTTCTGTTAGTATAAATAAACATTTTTGGTAACCACTTTTAGAGATCTTCGACCATATACCTTGGTCAAAAAAATGAGCTCTCAATTTTTACTTGAAAGAAATCTTACCAACCACTGTTGTTTCTGACATTAATTCTAAAAAAGATGAATAACGAATGAATTTACTCTTTCTGTTGAGTTTGCATAAATTTATAACGTACTCTTTAGCAGATTTTCGGTGTATAATATCTATTTTCCTTATAATCTGTCTACTGATATGCAGTTACAATACTTCCTGTTGATATTCTTTATCTAGGTAATGATAGAAACCTCAACTCAGCATTTTTGGTGAAACGTATCCATCACAGGACTCAATGCACATTTACCTGTTGTTTAAACGGGTACAACAAAATAGTAATTTAAAAATTTAAAATGAAAAGACGTCTCATTACGCTATCCAAACTTATCAAAGGGACTAGTTGCTTTAAAACAATAATTGATATTTAAAATGATCTGTGAGAGTTTCTAAAGTATCGATACAGGCCTTGATTATTTGTCGAAAATTTCTGGATGTCTTTAAGGGTTAGCCATTAAAAATACTAGTTTTGAAGGAGTGAATTAAAATTAGTGTAGACAGCTTAGTGAGTAAAAATGTGAATTTTTAAGAAATCTTTTCTCCTGACTGATAATGGTCATATTTGAGGAAATAATTCATTTCCAAGTAGTCATTTGTTATAGTTTTTATTAAACACCACTATTTATTTAAAAGTTATTTAAACTTTATTTTTACTTGTAATGAACTTTCTTGGATTTCAGAATAAAATTGATCAGGCTCTTAAGTTTGTTTCAACATCAGAAAATGAATTTGTTATTAAGGATTTTATGAATTCAACTACATTCTCATATTGTGGAGTTTGTCTTTCATCGATCAGCCTGACTGATGGCCAGTGTATTAATAATCATTGCAATGAATCATCCAGTTTTTCTCAACAACAGCAAACTAACTATCATTTAGTATATATTAATCTAGCTGGTCGTTACTATCATATATCATGTGCTAATTTCTGGATGAATCGTATCAATCCGTGTTTACCTGCTCTTAAAATCCCATTGTAATCGTTGTGATGTAACATCGAATTCGTTTCGTTTCCTGTTCTAATCAAATGTTTTGTGATTACACTTTATATATTCTGTATATTTATGAAGCATTTCATTTATTTCGTCTCATTTTTGTTTACTGATTTCGTTTTGTATCATTATAAGCCCCATCTTTTCTTCAGTCTGTATTCATTTATGGTCCCAATTTGTCGCTGTTATTATGTTTTTACTTAATCTATCTGTGCTTTATTTCTATTTACTGTGATGCAATAAAATGATATTTTATTTTTGACCGTCAAAGAGTTTTTTCATTGCTTTACGACTGATTTAGCAGTGCTTGATGATAATGTTTTGTTCTTTACGTGATATTGTTGGAAGCGTCTAACCTGCCTCAACAAAAAACTGTGTGTAAAGAGCTTTTAAACAGTCTTTATGATCAAGTTTGTCAAATTAGCGTTATTCTAATCTACTAATACTCGAATGATTACAGCTAACTAAAAGGTATTAAAAGAAGACTGAACAAAATTTTATCAGGGTTCTTTATCAATTCACATTATTCAGAATTTGTTTAATTTGGGCTAAATGATTTCGGATCTTAAAAATCTTTTAGAATGCAACAAGAAAACTTGATTTGTTTATATGCGGAATAAGATTCGTCTACCAAAAATTCTAATGGAACCGACTAGGTGTAGACTGCGTTTTATAAGACATATAGTCGAATTCCAGACAAATGATTCTATTGCTACTAGTTCAAAAACACGTGGTTGCTCTTAGAAATTTTTATATAACGTTAATTACTCCATTTCACTCAGATACAAATTGTGTTTCGTTAAACTTTAATGATTATTAGCTTTGTTTATTTAAGTTATTATTTACTTCCCTACTTGGTATGTATTCTTTTTCATTTCAGGTGGATTTTATCAGTCACTTTTTGTTATGAATAGTTCTGTGTCGTCAGATATATCAGATCAACATGGTGAAGAAATACTCAATTCTGGTGGAAATCAGTTAGATTGGCGTTTGAAAGCCTGTGAATTGTTGGAGCAACATATTGAAGAAATAAAGTTGAATAATACCAACTTAGTACTTGAATCGTGTGCACTAGCATCGTGTTTAAGAGATCTTCTTGTAGAGGTTGAGTCTCTAAAAACATCTTCCGTTGTTAACTCACTTGATGATGAGAAAATCATGGAATATTTGTTACATTACCAATCTGTTATTTCACTTGACGAATTAGCTGATGGTGATTTATTGTCGTTTACAGAAGATAAATATTCAATTAAGGAGTCTAATAATTTGTCACATTGTACAAATTCAAAGAATAGTTCCTTAGGTATACATGAAAGTCGAGTAGTTCAAGAAAATGTGAAACAAACGTGTGAAAATGTTTCTAATCTTTCAAATATTCACACTAATGATAATCGACCATCTCTTCATAAGCGTTCTGCCGGACACGTAGATGAAGAAAATATTGATTGTGACGATCCTGAATTAATACGTTCTGCGTTTAGACTATTTGCAAAGCATATTGGTCCATCTTTAAAACGTGAACATCGTACAGCATATAATGCACCACCAACTCAAGATTGGTTAGCTGAGCAACTACTATCTAGATGGGATGAATTAAGTGCATCTGAAAAGTTCACATGGCGCAAACGTGTTAAATCCTCTTAATTATTTATATATATCAAGGTGTTGAATAGTGACCATTACCGTGGTAAACTGAATTGTATAGTAAAATGGAACTTCATTATATATGTATTTTGAATAAGTTTTTATTTTGATATGCTTTTAGCGAATAAAATTTTTCTATTAATCTGTATCTCTTTATACTTCAATTGTGAATGTTTGCTTCTTGTCGGTTATATTGTTAAAATTTAAAGCAATTAGTCCATTTTATAAATTTGTACAGAACAATAAGACGGAGTTGATGCGAAAAATGTGATGTATTTGCGCTATACATTTCGACTAATCTGGTCATACATATATTTATCAAGGGATTTTATATGAAAATTAACAAAGGTCAATTAAATGAAGATTCAAGAAACCAAGTTATAATTGTCCGATTATTCCGCCTTATGTATTTGTGTCCACACAAACATGACGTGACCATACATTTTATACCCAGACATGTGGAATCATTGGCTTAGTACTTCCAATAACAACCAGTTTAGGAGTGTAATACCGTTTGCTTAGTGGGTGCTTCTAGCCTCTGTCTTGAAATCATACTGCTTGATTCACCACTATGACAGAGAGACGTAAATAGTTTTCTTCTGAATATAATTAAAGAAAGGTTTTGTTGTTGACTAAATTTTACATCTATTTACAAACATTAGTGGATGACCGTCTGATATCAGTGTGTCATGTAGCAGTTTCGCATCTTCAAGTGTATCTGTAATGCACATACTTTGAGTCTTGTTACAGAGGCACTTTATCAAGCCTCAATTGTGTCGTAATGGACGGAAAATGAAAATTTGGATATTGCTCAGTCCAGGTTGACTTCCAACAAACTGACCAGAACTATATCTAAAAATTGGCAATCGGTTATTACTTTCTTCATAGGTCATGACGATGTCATTCTGTACACTATTGAGTTTATGTAGTAAATAAGCAGCAACAACGTTTTTATCACATGTGACTAATATATCATCCACGTATCTCCTATACAGAGTTCGTGGATGAGCTCACTCGTCATACTTTCATCATATGACATACACGTATCAACTAAGGGAGGTCCTAAAGGTCTACCCATAGCAACACCATCAACCTGTCGAAATTTTTCACTTTCAAACGTGAATTGAACTTTTACAGTAAATGATAAAAGTAGTTCTTTCAACAGTGTTGAGTGAATAGGAAAAAAGTGGAAATTACTTGATATATGGTCACAAAGTGAATCAACAGTCTTGGTTGAAGGTACACTTGTAAAATGAGAGTTTACATCAGAAGAATGCATAGTCATTTCTTTGATATTAGTGTCATCAAGTAGACCAATTATTTCAAATGTATCTTCCAAGAAACCTTCATTTAATTGGCCTTTATTAATTTTCATATAAAATGCCTTGACAAATATATGTATGACCAGATTAGTCGAAATGTATAGCGCAGATACATCACATTTTTCGCATCAACTCCGTCTTCTCACTGTTCTACTACAATATTGTTAAAAGTTTTTGTAATATTTTAAAATGCATGGTCGTGCTACGTGATATTTGTATTTAGAGTGAAGGAACGTTTTCTGGAACTAAACATTTCTATCACTGTTAAACTCTTTGTAACAATAAATGAATTTGCCAAAATCAGTCGTTGAGTTAGAATGGAAAAGACAATTGGTCAATTAGCTAAAACACTATAAAATTTGTCACAATACTGACTTGAAACATATGCTTTTTGTAGCTTTATTGTTCATGCATTAAAAAATGATTGAATACTTATGTATATCTCACATTTCCAATCTTTATTAACAACTCCCAAGCCATAAATTTAATGAACAATAGAGTTTATTTTATATTACAGAATAATGCTCGCTGAGCAATACATATGTACTCTAGACATATTCAGTGCTTTATGTTCTTTATTGTTTGTTTTCTCATTGTGTAAAATTATCTTTTGAAAATAGTTGGTAATTTCCCCTATTCTCGTGTAGCTGTTTGTCCAGATAGGGCCTCATTATTATACATCTTACGGTTGTGTTAAAAGTATTTGGTCTAATTGTTTATTCTGTTCTATTTTAACAAACCCCATAATGGAGATAGCTGTTATATTTAAATATAATTCTTCTTAGCTAGACGACTTTCATATGAAGCTAATAGTCACTTTAATCGTAAAAACAAAATATAAACTAAATAATTTCGGGAAGATAATTGTTACAGTAACGGTAGAATATGTACTGGATTATTAGTTATGTTTAACTCAATATTATTCAATGTGATGCCCATTAAACCTACTACGTATTTGTTGTTTTTTTACAAGAGAATTTTAAGTTTCTGGTTTCAAAGTTAATGTGATACATATATGTATCTTCAAGTTACTGATTAATCTGAGTTCCTATTCATACTACACTTTCGTATTTACCTGATAGTTGAGAAAGGTATTATATGTTAACCATTTTCATCTTTTTTTAATTTCAAAGCACACTAGCACAAAATTTATAGGAAAGTAAATATTAAACGATTTGCAATAACCTGTTGACTGGTTTGTGGGTTTTAAGCATCCTGATGTCAGCCAGCATTAAATTTAATTTATAGACACATTTCGGCCACTATTGTGTAGTATGGTATTAGATAATCCAGTGACAGACTGAGCTTTGAACATTAAATTTTACCCTCTTTATTTTTTCGGTTATATTTTTTCCCGAAGACTTTAAAAATGTCAACTTTTGAAAAAGAGCAGTTTAATTTAATTCTCTATAATTTTCTTCTCTATAACCTGAATTCATTACCTTAGGTTATGTTTTGTTTATAGTACTTTTTAGATTATGACTACATGTGTGATAATACTTTATATGATAGAACCATTTTTTCGTAGTTGTTTGGATGCACTACAATAACTGCTGTATTCATTGTAAACTCCTAGACAATGTAACATTACCTCAGCAAATGTAAATATATGTCCTAAATACTCATATCATTTAAACTGATAAGATACAAAAACCCCAGAAAATTGTGTAGTATTTGCTATTTCTGTTTTCGTAGATATCTATTAAAGGCCAAAAAGCATAAATATTACATATAAAAAGGAAACTTAGGATGTTTGTGTTACATTCTCTATAAGTGCTAAGACGCCTCTTTCTTTACAAGCATGAACGACAAGAAGGCCATTTATTCTTTGCTTCGCCGTTGCTACTACTCAAAGCAATTGACAATAATTTAAAAATGTATCTTCTAGCTAACTTTTTTTACTATAAGGAGTAACAACAGATTTGTTGAACTATCGTAGATTGAAATTCGTTTAACTATTACGTAAAATAATTTGCCCTTTTTCATGTTTTCTAACACTCCTGACACTAAATAGATATAAACCGGTTGTTTTCTAACATATGTTGACCGAGAAATTTTCATTGTAAGGAATCCATGATACATATATCCCTCTATAAAAATACCCACTTTACTTGTATAATGTATATTGACTTTTTAAATTATTTAAATCGTACTGTATAACAATAGAGTTCGAAAGATGGTTGAACAAAACGATAATTATCTGAAACAATTGGGTATTAATATGAATAACTTAGAAAAAGAAATGGATTCAGCTATTGCCAAAGAATCTAGATATTGGCTTGAAAATGATGCAAAAATTAGAGCTGTTCAACAAGGAGTTCCAACTTATGATGATTTTAGGTTAGTATCATAAAGTAGATTTTTATGTATGCATTGATAATATGACTTTTTTCCTGACATTTCCTTCTTCATTATTTGTCTGATCTAAATTACATTTTCATTTCATCATAAGTTGCACAATATGTGATTGCTGTAAATTTTTTTTAGATATGGGCATATTGAAATTTCTTTTTAGATTGTATTATTGCTTTATTGAACAGAATATTGAATAAGTATATACCCATTTTGTGGTATTCAAATTGTTAGTTAAATATCTATTTGAAAATGAAAATATTATTGGGCTGGCTGAATTATTTTTGATGAAATAAAGCCGTAACATTAAAAAATCTATTACGGGTATGATACTTGATAGGTTATTGGATAACGGTTGGTTATTGATTGTGTATGAAAACAAAAGTAAACGATAAATGAGGATGAACTCTCAATCATGCTAATTGGAATACAAAATATTTTGTGAAAACAAATAATGCTTTAATGGTTATCAAACTTTATTAACATTTATTTTCACAGTTGAATTCACGAGTCAATTTAAGCTAGACCACCGTTGAAAACCTGGAAGCACTGGACAGTTATGCCACTGTATTTACTAATTCAAATGTTGATGGGAATACAACCAAGAAGTAATAATTACGTTGTGTAATTTTTTGTGTATAAACATATACCCAAAATCCATCGAAAAATTTGAAACTCAGACTCGGTAATCTTTTATGGTCGACAAACTTGGTATGTAATCGAAATGAGTAATGGATTATTGAATCAATCTATTTTAGTCTTATAAAAATTAAATCCTACTTATTTATCTAGAAACAGTCTCTTGCTTCCATCTGGTGTCGAATTATAGTAGAAGAAAATTACTGGCAATCAAATTAAGATATGATATCAGTCCATAAAGTTATTAATTGTTAAACTGAGATCATGTCCAGTTGTGCAGGCTTCTTGATTTGTGTACTAGGGATAATCGTAATTTATTTTTCGGACCAGCTTTTTAAATACGAGGTTAAATTTCATTGTTCTTATGAATCAACTTTAAGGATGACAATCACATTTTCGCATTTTTAACACATACTTAAGAGAATTCCGTTAGTATTATTGAAAATTCTTTTAAACGATGCACTCAAGCTTCAGTTGACTTCTGTTACAAAATGGACATACATACTAGTTTTCATCTAAATCGTATACCCTATTTAGATGTGTACTAGTTTTCAGATATCTTATCCACATCAATTTTTACAGTGCAAAAGCTGATCGTTTTATTCGTCGGTACACATATTGCCTTCAATTTTTTTGCTGTTGTTTTTTTTGAATAATCAAAATAGGTATTCTGTAGATGACATCTCAGAACCTTGTTTTTCCGCTTCATTACTACATTTTTCAATAGTTTCATGATCTCTATGACAGTCTTTGCGATCCGTTGCTAACAAGGTCGTGAATGGATGGTTTCTTTGTTACTTTTCTTGAACAAAACATACTATACTCTATAGACTTTTGTATTTTACTAGTTATTTGTTTATCAAGGTAGAGGAACAACAGAAAAGAAAATGGTTTTATATTTCTTGGTGTTTAGCTGCAATTTAAATATCTACTGTAGTCTAATGGTGAGCCGCATAAAACAAAGTGATTTTAATTCGAAATACTTGTTCTTACTGGTTTACTGGAAGTAAAGGAGTTTACATTCCAACCAGTACGGTCAAACTCTGGATATATCTATAGTATTTTAATAGTCATATTCCTTTTGGCAGCTCTCAAAAGGGATTCAGTACTAAAAGATAATACAACACTTTTGCAAGTAACAGCTTTAATGTAAATATATTGTATAGAGTAATCTAAGCATTTGAAAAATTTTGATTGGCTTGTCTGTCGATTGAAAATGTTTCATTTTCTTTTCCTTAGAGAGCTTGTCGCGGGATGCCATTTGAAGCCTCTGGATCGCTTAGAACTGACCAATACTGTTGGTCAAAGGTCCAGCTGGAACTATTCAGCAATATTATCAAATAATAATAGCTTGTTTCTGGAATCTGGAATGAATTCAACTATCGTAAGTACTCACCTTTAGTTATTTCAAACACTATTAGGGTATTGATGGGTATATATCTCTTAGGAATATGCTATTTATTTAAAACGCAAAAGGTTTTGAAACAATGAAATGTCAATAAATATTTTAAACGAGATGAAGTGATAATACTGGCAGAACATCTCAAAACGAGAACGACGAACATTAAGATGTGGAAACTGTTACAATAAAACCGACGTTCAACAAATACACTAGAATTGAATATACCTGCGATAGCAAATAAACTGTGTTATTGGCTTATATGAATACTTAGGAGTGTGTGATAACATATGTATGTTATTTTTTATATAGTTGAGATCATGAGTCAATTGAAGCTAGACCACCATGGAAAACTTGGAAGCACTGGAAGGCCGTTTCGTCCTATTGTGGCACTCCTCAGTAGTGCGCATCCACGATCCCGCCCTCGCGAGATTCGAACTCAGGACCTACTAGTCTCGTGCCAGAGCACTTAACTGATAGACCACTGAGCCGGCCGGCATCCAACGGTGTTGATGTCTAACCTCAACTATTTTTTTTTATATTTTCAGTTGAAGAAAAAATTTATCGCTACTAATTCGACTTCATAAATGATCTTATCCTCTAGCTATTTATGTAAAGTAACAGCAGAGTGTATGGGTAACCCTTGAAGATTAATGAATTAATATTGCCATTATTTACCGAAATATGTGCGATTTCAATATAAATTGATTCTTCACTATACCCTATCTAGTAATTATTCTACTCACTTAACACTGAAAGATCGTGACACAAAAAATGGGTTGTGCGATCGAGAGTACCGCATGGTTCTAACAATCAGTCATAAAAAATGAGTTTGTATATTTACTAAATATTGACTGATCCTAAAATAGTGATTTAGTGGGTAGTTTCAAGTCCTGTGCATAGTCAGTTTATCCTCTTATTTTACTGATTTTAAGTGAAATACGTTTGATTGTTCCTATTACATGTATTATATATATTTAATCAAATATTTAAAATCCTGACAACATTTGCGCTACTTTCATTTCACCGGAAACTGCGATTTTATACCGAATTCCTCCAGGAATTCCGACACAATTTGTCGTACTTAAAAATTCATTTTTATTAGCTTCCAAGTTTGTTCAGTTTTTATGTAATCCACAAATGTATTGTTCTTATATGTATCATATTTTGGCTTTGTTGCAGCCTATGATATCCATTACCACTCCACAGGAATTCGTTGTACAGTGGCGTCATATCAAATCACCATCCGCTAATACAAATGGTGCTTTATTAGAGTTATTGTTCAATCAAAATAATGAAGTATTAGAAAATCTTTTTAACACTGGACTGGGTGTGTCTTTTTTACCCGAAATACTTTCAGTATTAAATCATGCTGTTGATAACACGGACACTATATTATCATCATCTGATTATAATATCAACATCGTAATATCCAAGGTTTCTATGATTCTTGAAAGTTTTCAAAAGTCTAAACAATTTTCTTTAGCAGTCGATTGTTTGCTAGATAGTGAAAAAGAAACTGCACACCACTTAATTCAAAAAATTAAAGACATCAGAGACAAACTTGGACTTTTTGAAGATGATGGTGAAACTTTGAGGAAAATTGCGGATACTTTTAAATTGAGTAATAGTCGTTATGCTGTAGATGATGTTAGTCCCTATGTCTAAAGGTATCTGAGACTTTCTTGAGAAATTTTTTCAAGTTTATTGTATTCAGAACTTGCATTCTGTTTATTCGGCACATGCATGTTATTGTTTGTCCTTGTGTTCTCTTGAAACATCACTTCCAAAATATTCCTAGTTTAGACAGAAGCTCAACGTGCATTCAAGTTCTTGAGTCGAATTACAATTTTCCTTTATGGAACTAAATGTCCGTCATTCTTAACCTCAATATTTCGACCTATAAACTCTAGAAACATTTTTTACTTTATGAAAATAAAACTTTTCCTAATGTAAAGAATATTCCTTTCAATAGTATGCTAATAAACGTTCTTCATCACCTAACGTCAATTATGTTCGACACCCCACACAGTTCTGTTGTAAAACACAAAATAATGATAAAATCCTGATGATTTCTTATAAAGTTGCTGGTGATAATTGGTTCGAACAAATAAATGTCTGTAACAATGTCTTTCATATCCTGATATCAATTACCGCTCTATCAACCATGATGATCAGCGAATACATGTCACGGGAACTAATAAAGCAAGGGATTAAGTTCAAGGGCCGACCATAGCTGTTACCCTGATGTGCTAGTCGGCCTTACCTATCGTAATGACTAAACCAAAATATATATGGGCTGAGACACATGTTCCTTCAGATCCGATCATGCTAGACAGGTCGGTTGGGAAATAATAAGACTAAAAGCATCAACTTACGTTTTAGGGGGCGGTGTCATACTGCTAACTGAAGTGGGTAAAGACAACAGTAAGTTTTTTCCATTAGGCAACTAACATCTGCAGCTATGCTGCGTTCTCACAACAGAATGAAAGTGTTGTAGAAGGTCTAACCTGAAAATTTCACAACTCACCACAAGTATTTCCGTCTCCGGCGGTAAGGCCTTTTAAAATGAGAAAGTAACACTTCGAAAACTTCCATAAAAAAGCCGTATGTGACTAGGTTTATACATTTACCGTTGAGGTCTGTGTTAACGCTCACAAGTCGCTAAGGCTACCATTGCTTCAGTTTCTTTTTCGAATCACAGATTATCAACCACGTTGCGGGCATCGGTAAGTGATAACTATTCTCAAACATCTATCAGCACGTGAGATCATTTTGTTGGCTGCCGAATTCTTCCCTCAGCACTTACTAATTATTTCCAAATGAAAAATACCTTCCATATTACTTAATTATCGCATAACCGTTAATGGACGGAGTTCACAAAATCTTAAACTTCGTATCCTGAAATTACACACTGGTCTGCATGTTAGAGCTCCTAATGTTTAAACAATGTCAATGCAAAAGACCAGTAGGATTTTCCCTTTCAGTATATGGAGTCCCCTCTGCCAATTCCTGTGACCTGCTTGGTGTATGTATAAAGTTAATTTCAAAAGCAGAAGAGGCTCTGTCAGGCTGGATTCCAATAGACAGTCGCTTGTGTGTTGTTCAAACAAGCGGAATAGTATGAACTCGAAGAAATAAGGACACACGCCGTTACCTTCTCGTTGTCTCCGCCTACGCTCCCACTGATTGTAGTTCAAAGTTAGGGATGAATTTTATAATAAGCTATCCAACCTTCAAAAAGCTAGACGTTCTGATTTAAAAATAGTGACAGGTGATTTTAATTCCTAAGTGGGTATACTAAACCAAACCAAAAGGCGATTTTGTGGACCTTACGTTGCCGCTGCTCAGTACACGGATAATGGTGAGTCTTCTGCAACTATAGTCACATAACCGTCTCTCTCTGGCAAACACTAACTTTAGACATAAATAAAACACTGTCTTACGTAATGCCCCCCACAACTGGCTCTAACAGATGAGATTGACATTAGCCAGCGTTGGAGATGCTCGACAGAAGACTGTTGCTCATTTTAGAGCAAATATTCAAACTCGGATCATGCTCTATTTTGTGAACGTGTTTTTCTGCATCTTACTGGACGTAGACAGACCACAAAGTGAAATTCCCTTCAAGTTCGAATTTATGTTGAAAGCACAAGAATATTCTTCAGGAACAACTAGAGAATTTAGTGAATCGTCAAACTGATATTCAAACAGAAGTATCTCTCAATGATATCCAAAAAGCTGTGGAGACAACAGTGATATATTCCTGTAGCTTAAAGCAAACGGTTAGGAAATGTGTGTGGATTTTGGTGGGATCTACATAGCTGCTAGGTAGCCCGAAATTCATGCCATCTGACTCCAAACGCGATGAGGAGCGGAAGCAGTTTAAACGTAGGCTAACAAAGCGTACGTGATGGTCGTGAGCAGTGGTGAGTGGCAAAAACAGAAGAGATGGGAGAAGGCGGTGAATAACTGTTCAAGGAAACGGGTATCGAGAACCCGCCTGTTGGTGAAACTGTCTCGGAGAAGAACCGGACTATTGTACACTCCCCAATCCAGATCGGACGGATGTGCAGAACACTTTAAAGAACAACTCAACTGGCCTTCAGAAACACCTCAGTTAGCCAATGACTCTAAGCAACCTAAACAGCAAAGTGATGCGAGTCATCCAACTCTTAATGAGGTTGAAAAGGCTATGGGTAATCTAAGGCGAGGGAGAGAAGCCGGACCTGATGGATCAACCCGATATTTTTAAGGATGGTGGTCCAGTTCTAGCAGTTTAATTAACTCAGGTATTAGCTAAAGTCTGAGAACTGGACGTAATCCAATCTGACTAGTCTCGATCGCTGATCGTCTCAGTTTATAAGAAAGGATAGAAATCCCCTTGCAACAACCAAAAAGGAATCAGTTTAATTAATATAATTTCTAAAATATTAGCCTGAATAATACTTCTGCGCCAAACTGGAGCTCGCGAAGAGCAGACCCGAGAAAACAAGACTGGTTTTAGACCTGGACATGGATGTATGGACAAAATATTCACCCTTCGGTAGGTTTGGGAACATAGACATACTTTCCAACTATAGTCGTGTTCCTTTACCTTAAGGTGGTGTTCAAATCCGTTGATTGTGAAGTTCTTTGGTGGTGTCTGTCACTGAGAGCTGTAACAAAGAAGTGGATCAACCATGTGCAGGTTCTCCACAAAGACTACTGGTTGTCAGATGTTGTGCAGAACTGCTATCGAAGTTGGCTACTTTTAGTGAAGTTTATCAGGTGTCTGCTTTCTCCATTTCTATTAAACTTTGCAATAGATATACTTCTATAGATAACATTTCTATCGCCTGACGTTTCTAAAATGACGAAAATCAGAAACTGTCTCCGAATTCGACAGAAAATCTGACACGTCGGTCCCCTGTGATGCGACACTGAAGTTCAAAAAAATTTAACAACAGTGAAAACATTTTGCATTTAACGTACCAGGATTTTTAGGCTCACCGCCGAAAAGTGCCAGTGCAATGCCACGTTTAATATCTTCATGACCATACACACTTGGAGCTATGCTAGAAAAAATTCGATCACCAATCCTTTCATCACGTGAAAGTTTCAAAATCGCCCTTGTGTCCTCATCAGTTAATGTGCCCATAGCGACCTGTATATATAAAACAAGACAGAAATCTACTCACCTTATCATCTTTGCGAACAACGTTGTTTGCTAATATGACAGTTGCAAAGACTGGAAAACCATGCTTGGTATTGAGTGACCCATCATAGCTATGTGTATATACGCCAGTTAACTCCTACAATTGGATTAATGATTGACTGAATTGAAACACAACTCACTATTTCATCTCCCGGTTTGCAGCTATCAACAAGATCATCTAAAAGAATAGCGTCTTTAGACCTAGGAAGACGGCCTGCCGGAACTTTGCCTGGGCTTTCCTGAAGAGTGATACGTTGATAATTTCTATAAACGGTCTGAAAAATAATTCAGAAATTAGATGTGAAAAGTCCTTAACACGACTGGGGCAGGCAAATACGTTACTAGAATACATTCGGCATTTATAGGAATGACAGTAAGCTGTGCATATGTTGACAGTATTTATCACTATTTTTTTCTTTACCTTTTAATTTCCTGGAGGTTTGTTGTTAGATCTACAATTTTACGACACGAGGAATGTTTAGAAAACTTAAGAAAAGTTCCCTGTTCATATTCTTATCAAACAAACATTTGTCAGTCGAGGTGTGTGACGGGAGCTTTGGACAACTCAAATCATTCATTCCAAATTTTTCATCAATAAATTTCTACAATTGTTACAAGATGGCTTCCGCAAATTAAATTCATCGTGATTGGCAGATATAAGTGATCGGGACATGATACATTTTCGTCCAGACAAAAATGCTAAGTTTGTGACCATGGATCACAAAAATGATACTTGCTGGCACATGTGTATCTGGTGCCCCCTTGTACCAATATTTGTGTTCAAATAAATAACTATACTCAAAGATAGACACTTCCAATAAATAAACCACGAATAGAAGACATACACATTTACACCGTAGAGTTAAAGAAAATCTTAAATAAAGACAAAAATAAGGTAAAAATCATTTGAAATGAGAACTTTGAACGCCTCAGAAGTCCTCATATTTGCGCAATCAATGCACTGGTAACAGATAAATCACCAAAGTCATTTAAGGCGGACATGGGGATCATTTTACCTGGAATTATATCTTCAAAAGCGTCAAACCAAAATGCAAAAGTATGAAGTCAAGAAGAATACATATTTCTTTTCATTCCAATAAGATTTGCACATAATTCGATGCATAAAACAATGAAGAACTATAGTGTAGGTTAATATTTGAGGCACTTTTAGTCAAACTAATTCCCGTGGAGTTATTACAGGAGGTTTCTTGTCACTAATATGAAGACGTCACCTAACACATTCGTTTTTAAAAGTAGGCACTACTCAGTTGCGACCTCCCAGTAAAAACGAGATTTTGGGGTGATATCGTAGACACCGAAGGCTGTTTAGCAAGGTCTCCAGCATATGAACTGTAGTTTCTGAGTGTTGTCGTCGATCTTTGGACTAGGTGACTCGGGAGTCTTCATGGTGTTGACCTGGCTTGCGGTTTTACCAAATTCATACAACACACAGTTAACATAAAATTAAATCATACGAAAATGGGGGTAAAACAATTGGTAAAGACTAAAAGTGATTACCTGTTCCATGCTTAGTTCGAATGGACCACCTGATTGGCAGTCTGGACAAGTAGAAGGCTTGACTTCTGAGCCCGTTTGGTTTTGAATGAATGGGCCCAAAAGACACCCACATTTCGTACAGTTGTAGCGGACTACGCTTAACTGGGGAAGAACACCGGAACTGCTTGTAACTACTCCACATGTTCGGATAAGCTGGTTAAGATGAAAATGGCGAAGACATCGGAGGTCCTCAATGAGAGGAAGGTCGTTTATTCTAACATGGACTCGGTTAGTGATCCTATCATAACGAGGGAACCGAGTCAATGTGACCTCGCGAGCAGCCTGGTCGTATTAGAACAGAAAGTTAACTTTACCTCGTCAAAGATCTCTAAGACATGCTGAGGGGCTTCTGGTAAAAAATATGCTAGGACTTGCTCCGCCGATGCCAGGTGTTGGTAGTCAATATGCAGACTATGTTTGTTCTCTCTTGCCATTTGTACTATACGCTCAGCATATACGTTCCGATCGTTTTCGTCCAAAAACGTTCTGAGAAATGCTTTAAAACGGTTTTTGATTTCTTGACGAGTGACAGGTTGTTGAACCCATTCAACAACAGACATCCCCTTCATATCCTCCAAGTTTTCAATGCTTTCCAGGACACCCTCAGGTTCTAAATCACCTTCATCACCTGCAGCGACTCTCTCCGCAATACGCCTGCGGCGCGCAGGGATTATTTCTTCCTCCTCTTCCTCACCGTATAAATCTGAGTACATAACTAGTATAACTTATAGGAACTCTTACCGGCTATAAGATCACGTCTAAGTCCACCAGTAGCAAGCAGACGCTCACGGTCCCGTCGTCTCATTTCACGTTCAGCTTCAGCACGAGTATTTGGTGATAATTCCTCTAGGTCTTCATCGGGGTCCGCAAGACCTTCCGCCTCATAGACATCGAGCTCCGGGATAGGACTGAGGTAACTGGACAGAAATTCGAAAATTACCGATAGTCACGTTCCATATCGTCACCGAATAAATTCTCTCCAGATTCTTCTTCTTCATCAAGATTATCATCACCCAGTATGGCGGCGGATTCGTCCTCAAAAGCGGGTTCCTCTGGATCAGGGCTTGCTGCACCTGAAAGCTCACCGCCATGGCGACCTGATAAGTCTGAGTTCTACTTCTGTCAAACTACTTGTCTCAACCACTTACCGACATTTACAAAAATTCAAAAGTTGTGAACTGGGCGCTCGCTGGTGATTTCGACTACTTTAAATTCATCTGAATATTGAACTGGAGTGAATTCACTGATCACATGTAAGATATACATATTTGGAAAGACCACTAAATCGTGACATATGGGATTGTGGGGGAATTGATAGACGCAAAATTATCAGTCTCCGTGCATAATTTAGTAAATATATTAGGTTTTTTCAGGTTTTCAAGTAATTCTGAATGTTTTTGGACGGGCTGAAAGTAGTTGGCGTTCAACGAGCTTCTGTCTCTAGTAACAAGGGCTCACAGACACGTGATGTTCGCGATGTTCCAGATCATTACATGGCTACCCCCAAGCATTCGACATCTTGAGGAATATTCGTCTAGTACGTTTACATGCAACTCATTTGAATTTGAAATTCAGTACGCAAAACTGTTTCACTGATGTTTACCTAAAGCGTTCCAAAGTATTCTTATCTCTATGGACGTGATGGACAATGCGGTGGGAAAACTGTTAGGGGCACATGGGATAATGTTCAACAAAGATTCTCGTTATTTTCTACTGTGTCGGGAAGTAGATTCCAAAAATAAATGGTTTTGTAAGTCTTCGATATTAATGCAGATCTCCTTTACCATACTGGACACACCCTAACTAAAGACGCTAAGTCAAGCATCTGCATCAGATCACGATCGTGTACGCCACGCTACGCATCCCTCGCAACAATTACTCAGATGAATTCATATATTTATGTATATGGGATAACGTTCGTTAGTGGTCTTTGTACTAGGTCATCAATAGGCACAAATCTGACCCCTGTCTTCAACCCTCAGAGATCAGAAACACTGAGGAACCTCATGGGCTGTTTGATAGTTGAATTGTTCGTAAGTCTATCGCGCGCTCAAGTTCGGTTTTGGCTTTTCCTAGCTTTTCACGAGCTAGTAAGGAAGCCCTCAAGAATACAAGTGGTTCAGTGGTCATGGTGTGATGTGTTTCATACAGTTCAGGATACTTGCTGAGTATCGGTTCAAAGTATGGATCATTTACACGTTTTAATTGTGATCAAGTATAACCCTAAACCAGAAAGCGAAACTGAAAAATCAGTAGTTTAGTATTTCTGTCTACTAACCTGCGTTTGCTTATGTCGATAAGCAGATTATATATATCAATGATTGACATTGGCACGTCTATAACATCTACCTGCTCGAGGTTCCATATGTGGTTTGAGTTTTGAGGAAATGCAGCGCCTTCTTGAGGAATTACAACAGGTATTGTGGTAGTGTAGTACACGAGGACTTGATGCACATAACCAATTTATTGTTTTCTGCAAAATTAGGCAGTGCTTTCGCAAAATATGAAAATCATACACTAAATACATCATTTGCACATCCTTCTTTAGTCTTACCTTACATAGTTCATGATACTTCCAATGTAAACGTTACCCCTATTGCTTTCCGCTTTCTTTTTTGTTGATGATGCTAACTAGTGAGAGCACTGTTGTTGAGGCTTTTTGTGCTGACAGATATAATTATTTGCAGCAGTAGTCAGAAGTCGATTGCCTGCCAGCATAAAATTTGATTGGAGAAAACAAAAAAGAAAGCGGAAAGCAATAGGGGTAACGTTTACATTGGAAGTATCATGAACTATGTAAGGTAAGACTAAAGAAGGATGTGCAAATGATGTATTTAGTGTATGATTTTCATATTTTGCGAAAGCACTGCCTAATTTTGCAGAAAACAATAAATTGGTTATGTGCATCAAGTCCTCGTGTACTACACTACCACAATACCTGTTGTAATTCCTCAAGAAGGCGCTGCATTTCCTCAAAACTCAAACCACATATGGAACCTCGAGCAGGTAGATGTTATAGACGTGCCAATGTCAATCATTGATATATATAATCTGCTTATCGACATAAGCAAACGCAGGTTAGTAGACAGAAATACTAAACTACTGATTTTTCAGTTTCGCTTTCTGGTTTAGGGTTATACTTGATCACAATTAAAACGTGTAAATGATCCATACTTTGAACCGATACTCAGCAAGTATCCTGAACTGTATGAAACACATCACACCATGACCACTGAACCACTTGTATTCTTGAGGGCTTCCTTACTAGCTCGTGAAAAGCTAGGAAAAGCCAAAACCGAACTTGAGCGCGCGATAGACTTACGAACAATTCAACTATCAAACAGCCCATGAGGTTCCTCAGTGTTTCTGATCTCTGAGGGTTGAAGACAGGGGTCAGATTTGTGCCTATTGATGACCTAGTACAAAGACCACTAACGAACGTTATCCCATATACATAAATATATGAATTCATCTGAGTAATTGTTGCGAGGGATGCGTAGCGTGGCGTACACGATCGTGATCTGATGCAGATGCTTGACTTAGCGTCTTTAGTTAGGGTGTGTCCAGTATGGTAAAGGAGATCTGCATTAATATCGAAGACTTACAAAACCATTTATTTTTGGAATCTACTTCCCGACACAGTAGAAAATAACGAGAATCTTTGTTGAACATTATCCCATGTGCCCCTAACAGTTTTCCCACCGCATTGTCCATCACGTCCATAGAGATAAGAATACTTTGGAACGCTTTAGGTAAACATCAGTGAAACAGTTTTACCTACTGAATTTCAAATTCAAATGAGTTGCATGTAAACGTACTAGACGAATATTCCTCAAGATGTCGAATGCTTGGGGGTAGCCATGTAATGATCTGGAACATCGCGAACATCACGTGTCTGTGAGCCCTTGTTACTAGAGACAGAAGCTCGTTGAACGCCAACTACTTTCAGCCCGTCCAAAAACATTCAGAATTACTTGAAAACCTGAAAAAACCTAATATATTTACTAAATTATGCACGGAGACTGATAATTTTGCGTCTATCAATTCCCCCACAATCCCATATGTCACGATTTAGTGGTCTTTCCAAATATGTATATCTTACATGTGATCAGTGAATTCACTCCAGTTCAATATTCAGATGAATTTAAAGTAGTCGAAATCACCAGCGAGCGCCCAGTTCACAACTTTTGAATTTTTGTAAATGTCGGTAAGTGGTTGAGACAAGTAGTTTGACAGAAGTAGAACTCAGACTTATCAGGTCGCCATGGCGGTGAGCTTTCAGGTGCAGCAAGCCCTGATCCAGAGGAACCCGCTTTTGAGGACGAATCCGCCGCCATACTGGGTGATGATAATCTTGATGAAGAAGAAGAATCTGGAGAGAATTTATTCGGTGACGATATGGAACGTGACTATCGGTAATTTTCGAATTTCTGTCCAGTTACCTCAGTCCTATCCCGGAGCTCGATGTCTATGAGGCGGAAGGTCTTGCGGACCCCGATGAAGACCTAGAGGAATTATCACCAAATACTCGTGCTGAAGCTGAACGTGAAATGAGACGACGGGACCGTGAGCGTCTGCTTGCTACTGGTGGACTTAGACGTGATCTTATAGCCGGTAAGAGTTCCTATAAGTTATACTAGTTATGTACTCAGATTTATACGGTGAGGAAGAGGAGGAAGAAATAATCCCTGCGCGCCGCAGGCGTATTGCGGAGAGAGTCGCTGCAGGTGATGAAGGTGATTTAGAACCTGAGGGTGTCCTGGAAAGCATTGAAAACTTGGAGGATATGAAGGGGATGTCTGTTGTTGAATGGGTTCAACAACCTGTCACTCGTCAAGAAATCAAAAACCGTTTTAAAGCATTTCTCAGAACGTTTTTGGACGAAAACGATCGGAACGTATATGCTGAGCGTATAGTACAAATGGCAAGAGAGAACAAACATAGTCTGCATATTGACTACCAACACCTGGCATCGGCGGAGCAAGTCCTAGCATATTTTTTACCAGAAGCCCCTCAGCATGTCTTAGAGATCTTTGACGAGGTAAAGTTAACTTTCTGTTCTAATACGACCAGGCTGCTCGCGAGGTCACATTGACTCGGTTCCCTCGTTATGATAGGATCACTAACCGAGTCCATGTTAGAATAAACGACCTTCCTCTCATTGAGGACCTCCGATGTCTTCGCCATTTTCATCTTAACCAGCTTATCCGAACATGTGGAGTAGTTACAAGCAGTTCCGGTGTTCTTCCCCAGTTAAGCGTAGTCCGCTACAACTGTACGAAATGTGGGTGTCTTTTGGGCCCATTCATTCAAAACCAAACGGGCTCAGAAGTCAAGCCTTCTACTTGTCCAGACTGCCAATCAGGTGGTCCATTCGAACTAAGCATGGAACAGGTAATCACTTTTAGTCTTTACCAATTGTTTTACCCCCATTTTCGTATGATTTAATTTTATGTTAACTGTGTGTTGTATGAATTTGGTAAAACCGCAAGCCAGGTCAACACCATGAAGACTCCCGAGTCACCTAGTCCAAAGATCGACGACAACACTCAGAAACTACAGTTCATATGCTGGAGACCTTGCTAAACAGCCTTCGGTGTCTACGATATCACCCCAAAATCTCGTTTTTACTGGGAGGTCGCAACTGAGTAGTGCCTACTTTTAAAAACGAATGTGTTAGGTGACGTCTTCATATTAGTGACAAGAAACCTCCTGTAATAACTCCACGGGAATTAGTTTGACTAAAAGTGCCTCAAATATTAACCTACACTATAGTTCTTCATTGTTTTATGCATCGAATTATGTGCAAATCTTATTGGAATGAAAAGAAATATGTATTCTTCTTGACTTCATACTTTTGCATTTTGGTTTGACGCTTTTGAAGATATAATTCCAGGTAAAATGATCCCCATGTCCGCCTTAAATGACTTTGGTGATTTATCTGTTACCAGTGCATTGATTGCGCAAATATGAGGACTTCTGAGGCGTTCAAAGTTCTCATTTCAAATGATTTTTACCTTATTTTTGTCTTTATTTAAGATTTTCTTTAACTCTACGGTGTAAATGTGTATGTCTTCTATTCGTGGTTTATTTATTGGAAGTGTCTATCTTTGAGTATAGTTATTTATTTGAACACAAATATTGGTACAAGGGGGCACCAGATACACATGTGCCAGCAAGTATCATTTTTGTGATCCATGGTCACAAACTTAGCATTTTTGTCTGGACGAAAATGTATCATGTCCCGATCACTTATATCTGCCAATCACGATGAATTTAATTTGCGGAAG